TTATTCAGCACCAAAAAGAAATAAACTATCAAGTCATTAAAAGACATGGAGGAAACGTACATGTGTATTACTAAATGAAAGAATCCAGTCCGAAAAGGCTACAGACTGCATTGGTTCCAACTACAGAATGAGCATCCCTAATCTGAAAATCCAAAATCGAAAATGGGCTGGGCACTGTGGCTCAGGCCTGTAATCCCAGCACTTTGGGACGCCGAGGCAGGTGGATCACTTGAGATCAGGAGTTTGATACCAGCCTGGTCAACATGGTAAAATCCTGACTCTACTTAAAAAAATACACAAAAAAAAATTTTGGCCAGGTATGGGGGCACATGCCTGTAGTCCCAGCTACTAGGGAAGCTGAGGCAGGAGAATTGCTTGAACCCAGGAGGCGGAGGTTGCAGTGAGCAAGATCACGCCATTGCACTCCAGCCTGGGCAACAGAGTGAGACTCTGTCTCAAAACAAAAAGCAAAAAGAAAAAAAAAATCCAAAATGTTCCAAAATCTGAAAGTTTTTGAATGCTGACATGACATCTCAAGTGAAAAATTCCACACCTGACACATTATTTTTTCACTGTATTAATAGTATGTCATGTTTTTACTGTCAAGTACTTATGTGTGCATAACTGTAAGAAAATAATCGTTTATCAGTGGCAAATAAATTCAGAGTCAGAAATGATAGTGATGCTAAATAACCACAGACTGTCCACATGGCTGGCTGAGATATTGACACCTTTGCTTTCTGATGGGTCATGTACACAAACCTTATTTCATGCTCAAAATTATTAAAAATAGTGTAGAAAATTACCTTCAGGCTATGTGCATAAAGTATATATGAAACATAAATGAATTTCATGTTTAGACTCGGATCCTATCCCTAAGATATCTCATTATGTATATGCAAATACCAAAATCTGAAAAAACCCAAAATCCAAAACACCTCTGGTCATAGGCATTTCAAATAATTTACTCAACTTATATATACATTCTGGAAAAGGCAAAATTGTGGAAATGAAAACAAAAAAGCAGTGGTTGCCAACCAGAAGTTAGGGGAGAGGGAGGCATGAATAGATGAAGCACAGAGGGTTTTAGGGCAGTGAAACTACTCTGTGCGATACTATAACGGTGGACACATGTACATTTGTCCAAATTCATAAAATGTAAAACACCAAGAGCGAATCTTAGTATAAACTATGGAGTTTAGGTGATGATGATGTGTCAATGTAGGTTCATTAATTATAACAAATGTACCACACTAATACAAGATGTGTCAGAGAAGAGAGAGAGGGATGTGGGAACTCTGTACTTTCTGATCAATTTCTCTGTAAAACTAAAATTGTTTAAAAAAATAAAGGCTACTAATGTAAAAAAAATAGGTCATCATTGGAGATTCTATGAACTAATTATTCTGGAAATTATTAAGCAAAGGGATTCAAGCATTTGATGTATTTCCAATACATGCCAGACCACTGGGGAATCAAATAATAGATGAAAGTTTCTCTTTATAGACACATTCCAGATAATAATGGAAGGAATGATGTCTCTACTTTGTACCACCCAATCAATTAATCTATCTAGGCAATGACCATCAAAGTCTGCTAAAAATACAAAAAGAGATCCAACAATACAGAAGAATAAAATACCATCTTGCCAAAAAAAAGAAGAAGAAAGAGAAAGAAAAACAAAAACCTCAGTCTGAGGAAGCCTCTCTAGATTCAACTACCAATTTATAGAAAAGACAGAGGATAGGAGAACATGCTAAATGGCACTATGGGGATGCAATTAGCAAACTCAATATTGTGGGAAACTATAGGACAAATGACCAATTTCTTCAGTAAATAAACCTAAAGGGGAAAAAAAGAGGTAGAACGGAAAACTTTATATTAAAGAGACTTATTAGTCAAATCAACCAATTTTAATGTGTGAACTTTATTTGATCTTGATTCATATAAACTCTAAATTTTAAAAATTATTTCACAATTGGAAATTTGAACATTGACTAGATATTTGATGATGTTAAAAATCATTAAACTTTTTTTTTTTTTTTTTTTTTGTGGAGCACAGTGACACAGTCTCAGCTCACTGTAACCTGTCTCCTGGGTCCAAATGATTCCCCTGCCTCAGCCTCCTGAGTGGCTGGGATGACAGGCATGCACCACCACACCCAGCTACGTTTTGTATTTTTAGCAGAGACAGGATTTCACCATGTTGGCCAGGCTGGTCTTGAACTCCTGACCACAAGTGGTCCTCCTGCCTTGGCCTCCCAAAGTGCTGAGAATACTGGAGTGAGCCACTGCGCCTAGCCAGAAATCATTAAACTTTTATGTGTGATATTGTGGTTGTGTTTAAAAAAAAAAAAAAACTTATAGAACTTCACATTGTTATATTTTTACTGATGAAATGATAAAAGTATCTGTGATTTAATTCAACATAAAATAGGAAGAGGGGAAAGGGGTAGGGATATAGATGAAAGAAGATTAGTTTTTAGATGATTGTTGAGACTAGGTGATGGGTATGTGGAAGTGAACAATAACAAACTGGAGTCACTTATGTCAAAGCCCTAATCAAAAATGGGAGCTGGGGAGGTAATAAAGAAAAAATCCTCCTGCTTACATTCTTGAAATACCTGTACATCTTGCTTGTACCCTGTAATCAGAGCTTATTCTCAGGAATTTCCTTGGCCTTCAGCATTTCAGATAAGATGATCTGACCAGGACAGGTGTCTACCAAGGGCTATATCCTGCAGTGAGCTTTGTTTCAAAGCAGTTTGTGTGGTCTTCTGTCTTTAAAAACTCCTCTTTGTCCTGATTTTCCTCATGCGTGTGCTTATGATTTTCATGGCTTGTGTACCCTAAATTGCAACCCTTTTTTATTCCCAATTAAAATCTTTTGTTTTAGAGAGCTTGTCTCTATGAGGTTTTCTTTTTTTTTTAAGGTTGACATGTACATGGGTTATATTATTCTTTACTTTTGCAAATTTTTGAAATTTTCCAAAGTAAAATTATTTTATAAATAACAGTAAAAGAGTATTTTTATTTTAAAAAGCCTATATAATCCTTTTTACAACACAGCTAATTATGGGAATTATTTTTGGTCCCTGCTATTAGCACAGTCCCCATATCTATTCAATCACCAAATCTTGTTGATTCTCCCTCTCTTTTTTTTTTCCCAAGGTGGAGTCTTGCTCTGTTGCCCAGGCTAGAGTTCAGTGGTGCAATCTCGCCTCACTGCAATTCAGCTCACTGTGGCCTCCACCTCCCAGGTTCAAGTAATTCTCCTGCCTCAGCCCCCGGAGTAGCTGGGATTACAGGCGCCCACCACCACACCCAGGTAATTTTTGTATTTTTAGTAGAGACGGGGTTTTACCATGTTGGCCAGGCTGGTCTTGAATTCCTGACCTCAGGTGATCTGCCCACCGTGGCCTCCCGAAGTGCTGGGATTACAGGCGTGAGCCACTGCGCCCGGCCTGATTCTCCCTTTTAATTGCCAATTCTTTTCACCTACTCCAAGCAACATTTGCCCTGTGCACAGTGCACTTCTACTTTTGCCCACTTCCAAAACTGTAACGAGTAGGTTTTGTTGTTGTTGTTGTTTTAACAGAAATTTGATCATACCATCCTTTGCTTTAACAGAAATTTGATCATACGCACGAAGGTGCTGCAGGATCCATTCCAACTTGGTGTATATGTCACCAGATATATCTTGTGATGCTTTTTCCTGCCTTTCGATACTCCAGGTACTTCCTGAACTTCTCATCCTTATTTTTAACTCAAAGCATTCATACCTGCTGTTCCCTCTGCCTAAAATGTTCACTTTGTCCTTACACACACCCTAATCTTTCAGACTACACCTTAATTGCGACTTTTTCAGGGTAGCTTTCCCATTATTCTTGGTCTAAGTGAGGTCAAATACCTCACACCTTCACAACAACTTGACACAACTGAGATTTTAAAAATTTTTGAAATTATTTGTTTAGCGTCTGTCTTTCCTGCTATAATATAATCTCAAAGAGAAAAGAAAGTAGGTCTTATTTTTGTATCCCCAAAGCCTAGCATCTATTGTGTCCTGCACATAGTAAAAGGTCAATAAATCTTTATCAAACTATAAATTAATGTCTTGATGAAAAAATAAATAAATGTATTTGAATATAATACTGGTCCAATCATAAACAGAATTACCTGAGCCATTATTATAATATTATACAGTTAACCTTAATGGTGTCAGTCATACTCTCTGACAAAAGATTTGAAAATCTTCAATGTGTATGTACACAAAGAGAGGAAATGAGAATGACTTCATTACATATCCAGGTTACCATCCCTCAGTGATACTCCAAAAGTACTTAATGACAGAAGAATAGAGATGTATCTTAAAATATTATCTACATTTCAAAGGAGGCACACCTATATCCAAATAAAAGTGCAGATACAAGCCCCAAGTTAGGCTATTAAGACAGAAAACTCCCTAGGCGCACTGGCTCATGCCTGTAATCCCAGCACTTTGGGAGCCTGAGGCGGGTGGATCACCTGAGGTCAGGAGTTTTGAGACCAGCCTGGCCAACATGGTGAAACCCCGTCTCTACTAAAAATATAAAAATTAGCCAGGCGTGGTCATGGGCGCCTGCAATCCCAGCTACTCAGGAGACTGAGGCAGCAGAATCACTCGAACCCGGGAGGCAGAGGTTGCAGTGAGCTGAGATTGCACCACTGCACTCAAGCCTGCATGACAGTGAGACTCTGTCTCAAAAAAAAAAAAAAAAAAAAAAAAAAAAATTAAAAAAGACAGAAAACTCAGATTATCTGAAATAATAAAGAGCATATGCCCCAAAATTTTACACTTTATGTATATACAATTATTTTATTTAAAACTAGCTATAGAGAGCACACGCAGTCTCTTAACTCATAAAATGTATGAATTTAACTAATATATTCAAGCAAAATCAAAGCTTAAACATTGTAAAGATCTTCACAACATTTAAAATTAATGAGAAAAAACTACAAACTCCTGAACCAAAATTTTATTTTAAATTAGGTTTTTAGCTCATATGAAAATTGTTCATAACACATGTCACATAAAGATGTTGGCACAATTGAACTACAATAGAAAATATTTTTATACAACTTTTGAAATTACGAATATGCTTATTTCTCCTGTGAAAAAATGCAGTTTGCTTATCAACTTTGTCATGGAATATCAAGTAGGTTAAAATTTTTATATTATTGTTTAATAAACTTTTAGTAAGGCTGTGACTCTCCTTGATCTACACATATTTTTTAATGTATTGAATACTGTAGCAGCTTCTTCTCTCATCTCTGGTGGAACATATTTAATATCTAAATATTCATAGAGTTTAGATCTAGAATTACACAGCATGTTAATAACAGTTTCAATATCATCAATTTTATTACTTGTTTGTCCTGGTGACAATAACTGGGACTTATACATTGTTTCTAATTTATGTTCTGCTGCTGCTGCTAGAGCAAGGCTTCGTTTTAGGTGCTCTTTGGAGGCTTCAATATCTTCTCTATATGCTGGGTTGCTGGTGTCACTAAGAAGTGCCTGTTGCACTTGTGAATTAATATCTAAAATTTTTTTCAAAATGTCATCATTATTCCAACTCTCTGGGTGCTTTCCAAACGTTAGTTCTTTGGATTTTTCTATTGCAGTTTCACCTGAGAGCTGAGGAACATCTTCTGATTCTGTAGAGATCTCAATGCCAGTGCTCCTATCTGAAGTAGTGACAGGTGACTTGTATGAGGTGACATATGGACTTGTAGATGATTCAGTAACAACTGGCAACGTTCTTGGTGCCTCAGTTTGTCTTGCAGTTGGCTCTGGCTCTGGCTCTGGCTCTTCCTTTTCAATATAAGGTTCCTCTGCATGTAAAACAATGGAAACATTGTTTGGTTTGATCGACCAGAATGGGGTACTTTCCATGTGTTTTTTCATTCCTATTTCCGGTGTGAAGTCTCCTGTAGGGAAAGTTGTAGTTTCTTCACTGATAGGATTGGTTAAAACATCATTCTCAGTTGATGTGTCTCCATGTGTAATTAGCTCCTTAAATTTTGATCCCTTCGATGCTATAGAATAAACATGTTTTGGAGAGTTAGATTTTTTCTCACGACCTGGCTCCTTAGGGGGAACACTTAGTACTAGGTTCTCTAAAACTTGTATATAATGATTCAAGTTTTGTTCTTCATCAGGTGACACAGTTATGCCTTAAGGGAAAAGAAATCAAACAAATAATAAGTAACATTTATTATTATATATAACACATTGACAAAATCTACTGACCAAAATTTATTTCATATGCTATCACTTAAAAATTGAAATAAAGAACCAATATGCAAAGCACCTTTGACACAGAGTCAACTTTCACTTAAATAAACAAAATTATTTCTTCAGGTTCTTATTAAAACAGGTGAGCAAGATTAGTGCAAAAGTTGCATATTAACACCATTCTCTCTACATTTTTGCTTTCAATCTCCCATATAACTTATGATTTTTGCTTTTATTCTCTCATATAACTTATGATTCAACAGGCAACTTATTAAACCAAAATTCTTGATTATGTCCTCTAACACAGTGGTGTGCTGGAGTAGGCTTATACTGGTTCACTAGAGCCCATTGTTAAATTTTTATGAATTTTGTGAGCCAGATGTTAAACACAGACATTATTTAAAAATTAACTTATCTACATTACAATCAAATAAATTATATTAAAAGCAAAGGTAATAAATATTCCAAACTCATCACTTTCTAATTATTTTACTATTTTCTATGCTCGTGAGGTTATTTACATCTAGTGTATCTGTATGATGAAAATGCAATATTTTCATCAAAGATTTTCATTCAAAGATCTAACTATAGTCTGTGACTCATATCCACTCAACTGCTTTATTAAGTAACGTTTTATTGGCACCCAGTGAGTCTTGCCCATTTGTTTACGTATTATCTACAGGTGCTTTTGCCTGCAACACTAGAGTAATTGTAAGAGACCACATAACCTGCAAAGCTGGAAATACTGTATGACCCTTTACAGAAAAAGTTTGTCAATTCCTGGTCTAAATCATCAACATTTCACTCTTAACAACAAAATGGTAGTTCTACTTCATGAACCGCTGGTGGCACCTTACTTCTCCTTACCCGCCCCCGGATCAAAAATATATATATATTCTTAACTAAAGTCTACTCAGGAAATATTTCCTGTCTTTTATTTTAAGTATCAAATTGTTTTAGTTGGCTTAAAAAGGAAAAAATACAGAAAAGACAAAAAAAGCCCAAGGGTATTGTTGGGGCGTCTATCTAATGTGGAGGGTCTTTTTTTGAGGGGTCTCCTAAAATAAAATATTTTAATAAGCAAAAAAAAAAAGGTAGTTCTATTTATACTCCTATTTCACAACATCTGAGCAGTAAAGCCTCTCATTTCCAACGTGGAGAACAGAAAAGAAAATAAGGTATTAAGATATGCTGGAATTCTGTTCAACTACTCCTGAATCATGGAGTAGTTTTATTTTAAGCATCAAATTGTTTTTAGTTGATTAAAAAAAAAAAATACAGAAAAGACCAAAAAAAAAAAAAAAAAAAACCAAAGAGTATTGTTGGGGCATCTTTTTTTGGAGGGTCTTTTTTTGGGGGGTCTCTTAAAATATTTTGATAAGCCAAAAAAAGGTAGTTCTATTTATACTCCTATTTTGCAGCATCTGAGCAGTAAAGCCTCTCATTTCCAGCGTGGAGAACAGAAAAGATAGTAAGATATTAAGATATTCTGGAATTCTGTTCAACTACTCCTGAATCAGGGTATTTTAATTTTAAGTGCTGTGATTTTTCACTATGTGCAATTTTAAGGTTTGCCATTTTCAAGTATACAAATTGATTTAATTCAGGGAAGTAAATCACTTTTTACCAAACACTAATGCATTACTCCTACTTGAACCATCCCCCTGCAGGTTAAATAAAGTAATAAACTTTCTGTTCAGGAGGCACTTTTATTTAGCTTTTTGGTAAGTACAAAATACTCAAAAACTGCCTTGTATTTACATGTTTCTCCTCTCTTCTTTATTCTGTTACAACTTAGAAAGACCAGATAGACATTTAATCAAAATTGAAGCCATATTTCTAAATTTTAAAAAATTCTTAATGAGAACAGTTTAGTGAGCCAATGTGGTTAGTGGAAAGATACCACACGTCCAGAAGTCTTGATTCTAAAAATAAATTCTCACTTTATGTAATGCTTAGAAAAGCCTTGTATACTCCTAAGATCCATATGATGATGATAAGTGAAAAAGAAAGTATAGACCATAGAGTAGAGTTTGATGCTATCCTTATGATACTTTTTTAAAATCACTCACATAGCATCATATATTTTGTCTGTGAACTGCAGATTTTTTTAATGGACTGGAATGATAATATACTAAACTTATATGGGCAGTTGCATCTGAGGAGAGGTAGTGGGACTCAATGTGGTCAGTAGAGGAGATTTTAGACTTTAACTATAATGTTTTACTCCCTAAACACACACACACACACACACACACACACACACACACCCCAATCATTTAATATAGTAAACCATTATAAGTCACATTTATTTTTTTAAGTTTCAAGTATTTTTTCTCCTTTATTTTTTAATGGCAAACAAAAATTGTATACAAATCACATTTTTAAAAGGAAAATAACTTATTTATGTAAACTCATATTTATAAAATGCATTGTCCCGAATCAGAGTCTTGAAGGAAAATATTGGGTAAAATGAATATGCCTTGTGCAGTGAAAATAAAATATTTGATCCTGGTCCTGGCTCTACCAATTTATAGCAGCATTACCTTAGGTCATTATTTAACTTATCTGGATATTCACTTAACTATAAAGCTAAGATACTACACTTGCCTTTTTATCTCACAGAACCAAATAAATTAGATATTTTAAAACACTTTCAAAGCTACACAGCACTCATAAGATATTATTCTTTATAAAGGTAACTGCTTACATTTCTCATTTTAAATATAAATTTCCCTTAACATTATATAGAAAAACATGTTCCGTAAAAGGAACATTAAAATATACTTTGCATCTTATTTAGTGGGAAACAGCAAAAGCTTTTCCGCTAAAGACAGGAACAAGATAAGAATACCTAATATCTTCATTTCTATTAATATTTAATATCATGTTGGCGATACTAGTCAATGCAATTAGACAAGCGAAAATAATTGGAGACATGAGAATTGGAAAGAAAGAGGTAAAACTATGTTTATATACAGATGATAGGATTATAAATACAGACGACACAAAAGAATCCATTGAAAAGCTACTACAATTAGTAAGAGAATTTCATAAATAGCAAGTCATAAAAATCAATATACCAAAATAAATATATAAATATAAACTGCTTAGAAGATATGAGAAATAAGATGTTGTTTACATAACAGAAAAATGAAACAAAATATTGGCTGTGTGAATTCATTCACACCTGTAATCCCAGCACTTTGAGAGGCCGAGGCAGGTGGATGGCTTGAGCCCAGGGGTTCGAGACCAGCCTGGGAAACATGGTAAAACTCCAACTCTATAAAAGTACAAGAATTAGCTGGGCATGGTGGCACATGCCTGTAGTCCCAGCTAGTGAGAAGGCTGAGGTGAAAGGATTGCTTGAGCCTAGGGAGGTTGAGGCTGCAGTGAGCCATGATCTTTCCATTACACTCCAGCCTGGAATTTTATATATACATACATAATCATAAAATATCAAAAACATGCCAAAATCAATATGAAGAGTTATAGTAGGCTAAATAATGAATATTCAAAGATATCACCCTAGAACCTGTAAATATTACCTTAAGAAAGAAGAGTCTTTGCAGATGTGGTTAAATTAAGTTTCTTGACATGGGGCAATTATTCTAGATTACCTGGGTGGACTCTAAATCCAATCACAAATGTTCTCATAAGAGAGAGACACAGAGAGATCTGACACACACCCAGAAGAGGAAGAGGTAATGTGGAGGAAGAGGCAGAGATTAGACTGATGTGGCCACAAGTCAAGGAAGGTAGGCAGCCACCAGAAACTAGAAGAAGCAAGGAGCATATTTTTTCATTGAGCTTCCAGAGGGAGCATGGCCCAGACTATGCCTTGGTTTTCGCTCAGGGAAATGGATTCCAGACTTCTGGCCTCTAGAACTGTGAGAATAAATTTTTGCTGTTTTAAACCATCAAGTTTGTGGTAATTTGTTATAGGAGCTACAGCAAACTAATACAGGAATATAATAAAATCTTTTGAAAAACATAAATATCAACAAATAGAAAGCTATACCATGCTCTCAGATGAGAAGATTCAACATCATAAAGATGCTTAGATGTCATATCCTCTCTTTTAATTTATACATTTAATATGTTTCTAAAAATGTCATTAATTTTTTCTGGAGTTAGAAAAATGAATTATAAAGTTTATTTGGAAAAACAAATAAGAACAGCCAGGAAAACAAAGCCTATCCCTATCAGATATTAAAATCAAATATTTAAATATACTATAAAGCCTCTATTATGAAAAATAGTATAGCACTGGCCATGAACAAATGAATGGAGCAGAACAGAAAATATAGAAATGGACCCAAATGAATATGGAAAAGTAGCTCAAAAGGAAGAAAGGTTTCAATTTATAAATGATTCCAGCTAATAATTTAAAAAGTCATTTATAATTAAAATATGATAATTTTGCAATAATTTTCTATGACTATGTATATCTAAAAAGGTACAAAATCAGACATTATGTGTTTTCTGATGGAAGAACACAACACCACTTACGAAATAGTCTTGCAAAAAAAAAAAAAAGTCAAATCTGAATCCAGTAGGTCTCCCTAGATATAACTAACAATATACAGAAAATATATAGGACAATAAGGGAGATATTAAACTACACCATGGGGATGTAATCAGCAAAACCTAGACTGTGAGAAACTAAAGGATGTGTGACCCAGTTTCCTCAACAATTAAATTGCAAGGGAAAAAACAGAGATGGAGGAAGAACTATAGATTAAAAGAGAATTAACAGGTATATCAATAAGTTACATGTATAAATCTTACTTGAATTCCGATTCTATCAAACTGGAAAAAGAGAAAGACAATCAGAAAACACTAACCAGATATTTGATAATATTAAGGAATTATTTTTGTAAGTAAAAAATTACATTGTTTTGTGTTTTGTAAAGTCCTTATATTTTAGTGCTTTAGT